TTTGTTTTCCTCCCCTTGTTTTTTTTTTTTTTTTTTGGAGACAGTGTCTTGCTATGTAGTTCTCACTACATAGCCCAAAGTGGCCCTCAAAATCATGGCAATCCTTCTGCCTCAGACTCCCAGTGCTGGGATTACAGGCACGAGCCACCACACTCAGCTCTGTAGTGCTCTTGAATGAGGAAACTCTACTTGTTTTAGTATATCTGTTTATTATCACTTCTTAAAGAGCAAGTACAATTTACATAATCACCCAAGCAGGCTTGTGTAGACATATTTCATTGAAAATCTTCACATATGCATCTTTTCAAACTGCAGTAAGTCTGCAAGAGAAATTTCATTATGCATCCTCTACAGAGCCTGTATTCAAATAAACCCCGAGGTGCGGGAAGCTTCAGGCCAGCTCCTCATTAGAAACCTCAGCATGGGGGCTCAGGAGCCCATCCCCTAAGGTCTTCCAGGGAGAGCTGAAAGGCTCAGATAAGTGAGCGCTGGCAAGCAGGGCTGGTCTCAGGCTCCAGTGGGCTCACCCCTGGGGTTGAGCAAAGAGAACAGACAGGGGAGTTCTGAGAGGCATCGGAGCTGTCTAAACTCAGGGGGATGGAACCGAGTGAGCAGCAGCGGTAATTGAGTTTCAGTTACCTGCAGGGTGGCGAAATAAAGTGGTAACTTCATCTGCCTGACATGGGGGAGTTTAGAGGTGTCCCTGGCAAGCTCACAGTGAAACCTGTCACCCTTCCATTGTGTTGGGTGATGGCAACTGGATGGCGCTTCCTAGTGACAGCCGTGTGCGTCCCGTCAGGCAGCGCCAGCGCAAGGCAGCTAATGAAGCCGCTCCCACAGGCCCGTCTCCCGGGGCTCCCCATATTCTGTCTGAAGGAATGGCACCATGGGAATATCCAGCACAGCCGACACCCGCATCACCCAAACTCAAAAGAGTCTTTGAATGGCGGAGCGAGGCCCAGCGCTGGGCCCGTCCTCGGGTCACTTTTTGTGGGTCTGTACAAACGTGCCGACCGGCAGCGCCCCGCTCTTCACCTGCTCCCGGATCTCAGCTCTGTGCTTTAATGTGAAGACCAGAGCTCGCACCGTCCTCCGGTAAGGCCCGTTAATGAGCCGGGAGCAGAGATGAAACGTTTCCCGCTCAATATTTTCAACCAGTAGGTGATCCATCTGAAAAACAGCAAAATTATCAAATTAAGGCCTTGCGTTGCATAAGGATTAAAAGCAAGAGAGGCTGGCGCACTCTGCTCTGGGGCCTCCATTAATCAACTGAAATTCAAGGACATCTACTTCCTGTCACAAGAGAAACAGGAAGAGCAAATTAATTCCACCCTGGCAATTAAGGAACAAGGCCATGTGCTTTGTGACAGGGACCTCATTCACAACCCCTGCCGGGTGGTAATATTTGCCATTATAACAGGAAACCGGCCTGAACTAAGCAACGGGCACCAGGCCCTGTACTTTACCAACCAGGAAGCGGGGCCCAAGGCTAATAAATCAGAGAAATGGTGCATACTTCTTTGTTTTAAAAGTGCCTTTCAACTTTGTATAACATTTTAGAAATGCTGGTCTGGACCCTGAGATGCACATGGTGCAGTTTATAAATCATGGTCACATTTAATATTCATAATTGACTATCATGTTTTACATGAGGAGGAGGAGCCAAGGTAAAAGGGGTCAAGGTCTCACAACTGAAGTGGCAGGGCTAGACCCAGACCCAATTCCAGAGTTCCTGTGCCTGCCCTTCCCCACAGAGACACTTCCAGGTGGCTGAGTCTGGAAGCTGGACAGGGTCTGTGGCAGTGCTGGGGTGATCTGCCTCAGGCCCCAGACCTAATCAAAGCAGGCCCACCTTCTAGTGGCAAGGATTGCTTTTCCCTAGAAATCACACTGTGCTGGCTGTTTTATGTGAACTTGACACAAACTAGTCACCTGAGAAGAGGGAACCTCTACTGAGAAAAATGCCTCCATAAAATCAGGCTGCAGGCAAACCTGTAGGGCGGTTACTGTGTGTAGCTGCCAGGTTTTTGCTTTTTATTGTTCATGGTCTGTGTGCTAGAGTCCAGGAAGAGGGAACCTCAGCTGAGGGAGCACCTTCATCAAACTGGTCTATGGGCTAATCTGGGGGGCATTTTCTTGATTAATGATTGATGTGGGAGGGTCCAGCCCCATCCCATCCCACTGTGGCAGTGCCACTCCTGGGCAGATGGGCCTGGGTTGTGTAAGAAAGCAGGCAGAGCAAGCCAAGAAGCAGGGTTCCCCCAAGGCCTCTACTTCAGTTCCTGCCTCTGGGTCGTTGTGGTGTCGTCCCCCCCCCTTCCCCTGGTATTTTCTCCTTCCTGCTGGGCTCTGTCCTCTCCCTGCACCAGGCCCACTATCAACTCTTACTGCTCGATTCTCTCAGTTCCACACCTTTCTCTACCCACAACTGTGCTTCTCTGTAACATCCCCAGCAACCTAATCACAGTCTGGGAAGGAGATGGCACTTAGCACAGATAACCAAGGGGCAATACGGCCAGATGTGGTCACCCCCATAACCACCCCTTCTGTTTAACACTTGTGCTGTCTTCTTGGTATTCCTGAGTTCCTATTTCTCAGTGATGGAAAATCTGATTTGCTGCCCTTATCTATCTGTGCCCATGGGTGGAGTGTGTATTATTCAGTTGTTCAATTTTGGATGACTGGCTATAGCTGGGGAAAGATACAAAACAGCCAAGCAGTGCTCTCAGAGGAATGGGCTTTGCAAGAAATGGTGCCATAATCAATTGCCATGTCAGTAAACTCTTGAATTCAAGGTCTTGTTCCTGAGTTTATCCTCAGTGCAAAACCTTCACATGCTGCTGTAACGGTGTGTTTGTTCTTTCCCCAGCAGACTTGGAGCACCTCTGGGGCTGACTTCATACACAAGATTCATTGCCTAATTTTCTGAGCCCAGCTCAGGAGTAAGCGCGTAGTAAGAGCTCAACAAATACCTGTGGAGTGACTATCCTTCCTCCCCACACATACCTCCCTCCTCTCCTGCTCTTTTAATAGTATCATTCCCACAGCAGATAAAATGTGGATTAGAGTTCTGTTTCATTTGTGTTTCTAGTTCATAAAATTCTACCTTAAAAAAGTGAGCTCACCTGCCACTCCTTCCATGAACCCTTCTCGAATTCCTAGATCATACTGTTGTGTGTGTATACAACTGCTCCCGAGGATCACTATTGCCATCTGCCTTATAGCTCTATTAGCCACTCACTCGAACTAAGCTAGGGGGAGTGAGCTTTTTAGGCTAAGGAGGCAATTCTTCATGCTTGTGTTCTCCCTGGCACCTAACAGATCCCATATTTGTTGAACTGAATATTCGCTGAAGAAAAACCATATGAGGGTTTTCCTTAGCACAATTGGATTTGTACACAGTTCCGAACACTTCTTTTTGACCACTGGATACATTTGTGAGAGAGCTGGTCAAAGCCAGGGGTACAGTCTGATCCATGAATCCATTAAACAAAGAAAAAACAAAACAAAACAAAAACCCAAAGAACTCCACCAAAACCCCAACAGTCCTGTGTGAGAACATACCCCTGAGCTGGACCTCATTAGCAACATCTGACAACCAACTGGGCCACCAGCCAGTGTCCCAACTCTTAATGATACTGGCTCACTTTCGAATCATGTTCATTTTTTTTAATGACATAATAGGGAAATGATCAAGGCCGCGGGGTAGGAAGGAGAGTGGATAATGAGGAAGGGGAAGTGAGAGAGTGACACTACGGGGGACACTCACGAGGAAAGATCTAAGGGACAGAAGAACAAAGACCTGGAAGGGAGAAAGGAAAGGGAATGGGGCCTGGGCTTCAACAACAGCCATTCGATTCATCTGCTCCATTATTCCAGGAACGAGGAAGTGGTCCACGGACATGGAACGCACGTTCTGCAGTGTGATAAAGAGCCAGCCTTTAGGGGTGCGCATTCACGTCACACATGACTTTCACTGTTAAAAAGCATGAACTGAAACAGAAACACTTGCTAGGACAATGGAAAACGTCTCAGTCATTGGGCTGGGAACTTGGGTTTACTACTGTGTGAGCGAGCACATTTACGGAGTCCTGGTGTCTGATGTGGATGCAAATATTGGGATTAGGTGGGCCATGGATTTACCTCAATAAAGAAATGACAAAAACAAGGGTTAACTTATGTAATTATGTAAAAGGATTTGTGTTAATTTTTTTTTTTTTTTACAAAAATACCATCAAAAGCTGTTTAAGCAAGGCAGACAGGTTGTTTGTTTTTTTGGGGGGTGCCAAGGAAGACAGTAAGATATATACTTTAAATTTTTAAAATTTACTCTTTGAGAACAAAACCATTCAGCTATACTGAATCTGCTATTCTTTCCGATTACATTGGAAAGTGCTAACGAATGTATCACTTTTTAAACTTCGCTTTGTAACACTTGAGTGCTTACCACTTGATGTGCCATTTAAAGGATAATTAATGGATAAACTAAAAGGATAATTATTATGGAGTTTAATATAGCAGGCAAACTGCTCATTAATCCTTACAAGCATGGCTTCGTTATTATCATTTACTTAAAAAGATACCACAGGGAACTGGTATTTACCACCACATTAACTATGTATTATAGACCACACTGTATGTTTCAGCAGTAATCCTGGTTTATTTCAAAAATAAGCGTTATTTAAAATCGAGAATCTGTTGGCTAATCGATCGATACTCTGGAAAATGACTTACAACTTTCACATGTGCTCTCTCCGTTAGTCACACAGGACTTCCTTTAGGAAAAGTTAACTGCCTCACATCACATTGAAACTCTGCACTATCAGACAGACAGTAAAAGCCAGATGTGAAGGATAAAGATGTATAGAATGGGACATACAAGATGACACTAATTGAGATTGAGCAAGGTTCATAAGACAACACAAATGTAAATAATTATGCCAGTTTTCTGGGATGTTATTTAAATAATCAATAAAAATATGGGAAATTTGGCAAATAATTTGCCCTAAATAAATCCTGGGAAACCACAATTTGTCTGACCACATTTCCTTCAAAAACTATAATAATACACCATAAAAGGAACTGCACCACAATGTTAATCACATCACGTCTAGGTGGCAGGTTCAATGGTGACTTTTTTTTTTCTATTTTTTTCATGGATACATAGTTGAGAAGAAAGGAAGTACAGAACAGATCTAGCACTTAGACCTGACTTCTCAATTCCTTCCTTTAAAGGTTTCTGGTTATCGTTTGCCTGCATGGAGGGGGTGTGTGGGATGTGTGGACACATGGCAAGGCACATGTGCCGAGGTCAGAGAACAATGTTATGCAGTCAGTTCTCTCCTTCCACCTTTAAATACATTTCAGGGACCCAATTCAAGGTGTCAGCCTTGTGCTGCCAGGGCTGTCACCCAGGGAACCATCTCTCCAGCCCCAGACTCCTGTATTTGTTAATTTAATCTTTAAGGATATTTCAATAAGGAGAAATTACAATAGAAAAATATGGATGCTATATATCGTCTTTACTTTTTATTTTTTTCAAGACAGAGTCTCATGTAGCCCACATGAACCTACAGATCTGCCTGCCTCTATCTCCCCAGTGCTGGCATTAAAGGCATGCTGGCTTTAACCATGCCTGGCTCAATATTATTATTAATGAGTAAAATTTTTCCAGCATGTATACCTCAAGCCACTACTATCACCTGGGCTTCTGGCTGTGGGGGTAACGGAATATGCCCATCAGGTGATTTTATGCCTCAGATCTGAAAGTACAGGTCTTGACAAATAATGAGGGAGGAGAATCTCTCTTCTTTATTGCCACTGACATTTTACATTTCAAAGTTTTTATTTCAGTAGAAGAGAAAGAATTGAAAGTTGAAGAAACCAACATTTATTAAATGACTTCTAACCTGCAGGTACCATAGACTACTCCTTCATATAAATGGTTTATTTAACTTTCCCAAGAACTTAGGTGGTGAGACTCTGGTTCTCCTTTCACGGGTGAGAACAAGCCTCAGCAATGCTGAGGAATGTGCTTCAGATACACAGTCTTGGTAGTTCCAAAGACAACACACAACACTGTCTTCCCAAATGCTCACAAGTCCAAAATCCTTGAGGGATAACCTATCAGTTTAATTTATTTAATACCTAAAAATTGTTATGCATATGTATGCATCTGTGTGTATGTATGTGCCTGTGCATTGTGGGTACCTAAATGGCCAGAAGAGGGAGTCAGATTCCCTCGAGCTGTAGTTATACAGGTGGTTGTGAGGGACCCAGGGGGATGCTGGGAACCAAACTTGAGTCCTTGGCAGAGCATCAAGTGGTGATCTTAACTGCTGACAGTCTCCAGCCCCAAAAATAACTTTGCAGAATAGGCCTGCACGAAGATGGGAGAGCTCATTGTAGGACCCCCACAATCACACTTCAAGCCTTACCTTCAATTCCAAGGCTTCTGAGAGTAATTTCTGGGCATTTTTTCTAAATGACTCAGTTTTTGGATCACTTCGTACTTCAATAGAAGGTCTATCCAAATGTTTTTCAAAGAAAGTTTTCCACTCGGTGTGAACTTCTTTGGCAAGACACGCCACCTCTGGGTCTGAGTGCTTGCGCATCTTGTTCACAATGTGACCTAGGACAGAGAGAATCAGAAGGAAATGCAGTTCTCTCCTCTGGAAAGCAGTGAGGGGCACTCACACATGCAAGGATGCAAAGATTTCTGTGCAAGCATCCGCCGGCCCACCCGTGTGAAATGGATATATGTGGGTGAAATGAGACAATCTCTGGGGAGAACTGAACTGGCCAATGCAGCAAGTCTTAACGTAGACTCAGAAAGAACAAGGAAGGCCAAGTGTAGTGGAACACACCTTTAATCCCGGCAGCACTTGGGAGGCAGAGACAGAGGCAGCGGACCTTGTTGAGTTCAAGGCCAGCATGGTCTGCATAGAGAGAGTTTCAGGCCAGTCAAGGCTACATAGTGAGACCCTGTCTCAAACAACAAAAACAAGGGGGGAAGATTCCAAAGTTGCAATAAAATAGAATGAATTAAGCATTCATTGGAATCTTACTATATTTTAAGTAAAAACTTGGTTGAATTTATTAAAAGGATATTCTTGAGTGGGTGAAGGTGTTGTGTGCATAGCTGTACGTCTGTGTGGGTGCTCAGTTGTATGGATGTGCATAGGGGCTAGAAGTGGACATGTTGATGTCGGGATATCTTTCTCAATTGCTTCTCATCACTAATTTATTTATATTACGTGTATGAGTGCTTTGCCTGCACATGTGTATATATGTACCATGTGTGTACCTGGTGCCTGTGAGGGTCAGGAGAAGGAGTCAGAGCCTTTGGAACTGGAGTTACAAATGGCTGTGAGCTGCTATGCGGTACTGGAAACCAAAGTGAGCTTCTTGAGGAGTGAATTCTTCTTTGTGCTCATCAGCGAGCACAGGCTGGCTGAGACCCACAGGAACAGCCATACATATCTGACTAAAGCGCTTAACAGAGCCCCCTAAAGAAGAGGACTACATCACACACTGAGATGGATAGGTGCACACAAAAACATCGGTAGAGAAACTGACTTGTGTAGACTGAGTGTGCAGCACAAGCTTGTGATATTAACACTCAGGGCTGGTGGCAGGACACTGCCAGTTCAAGGTATCCTTGGTTACATCTCAAGTTTGAGACCAGTCTGTGCTACAATAGACCTTATCTAAAACAACAAGCAAACAAACAAAAAATGCCCAAACCAAAAAGAAGAGCCTATAGATTTACAGGATCTCAATAAAAAAAAAAAAAAAAAAAAAAAAAAAAAAAAAAAAA